AAAGCCGCAGGAGAATGTGCCGCTCCGCAGCACCCAGGTTGCCAGGCAGTGGAAAAATCCAGGCTCTCGGAGGAGCTAAAAATACAGCATGGCAGCCCCTGCCTCGCAGTTCCGGAATCCTGCCCCTGCCACTTGCCCGCCCACCCATGGCAGACGCGTGCTCTCCTCTGCACCCCGCCCTGCCCTGCTGGCTCAGGGCCCAGAGGCACCCCAGACCTTGCAGGATGCTGGCAGGTCCAAACCGAAGCTGCCACCCCTGCCCAGCAGCGGTTCCTCGCAGCGACCCACGCCCTACTCCGCCACGCCTCTGCCTCGGAGTCTTCAGAGCCCCTGGCCAGACAGGCTGTGCAGGGACCGAGGCCCAGGGCAGCACCGTCTTCCCGGGGTGCCAGCCTGAGGCTCAGCCTGTTCCCAGGGGCCCGCGCCCTTGGCCAGACCCCCCCTTGCCTCACCATGGGGCTTGTGCAGGTGAAGAGGCCCCAGACCCGGGGGACTGGCTGAGGGGCTGGGACCCCACATGCACACGCACACGCAAGCACACGGGAGGTGGGCGGCCGACCTTCTGGCGTTCAGGTCACGGCCCCACGCTGCATGGGATTCAGACTGCCCCCGGGGCGTCTGCCCTTCCCACACGTCTCGGCAGGGATGCCAGGCTAGGGCGAGCCTGCCCCACGTCAGCACAGCTGCCAGGGCACGTGGCACAGGGCAGAGGCAGCCCATGTCTGTGAAGAGCTGCCCCCGGAGGGGCCAAGGCTGACTGGACGGCAGCCCTGCCCCTCCTGGTCCTCCTGGCAGCCTGTGTGTGGGGCTGGTGGGCATGCTGCCTAGTGGACTGCCCCAGGCTCTGAGGGAGACCTCTCTCCAGGAGCTGCAGTCCGGGGAGGCCGGCAGTCACATTGGTGACACCACCCATGTGGGCATGAGCCCCCTCTGTAGTTGTGCCATTGTTGGGGAGGAGTGGACTCTGGGGGTGAGGCTGACTCTTCGACTGCCAGGGCGGGGGTGGGCTAGCTGCTGGAGTGGGCCCTGGGACACCTGGAGGGCCTGCTTTGCCAGCGGGTGGCCCAGGCTGAGATGAGCCCTGCCAGTGCAAAGTACGGGCCTGCGGCCCCGCCCCTCAGCCCCGCCCATGCCGGACACGCCACGCCCTCGCAGCCTGCAGCCACCCCCACCCCCACCGTGACGGTGTGGCCCCACCTGCCTAGGACCACCGGGGCTAGGAGAGAGGTGGGGAGGGGCGTTGTAAACCCGGGGACTCGAGGCCTGCCTCAGGGTGCACAGCTAGTCCGCGCAGAATGATGCTCCGCCCCACCCCTCCAGACCTTCCCCGGAGTAACTGAGTCAGTAACCAGAGGACGGGGACCTGCCTCAGGGCGCACAGCTAGTCCGCCTGGAATGAGGCTCCGCCCCATCCCTCCAGACCTTCCCCGGAGTAACTGAATCAGTAAACTGGACCCCGCCCCCTGCTGGCAGGGGCGTCAGGCCTGCAGCGGGGGAGGCCGTGTGGCCGTGCATAGCCCCATACTGTCTGTAGACAGAGCCTTTTTATAGAACGGGGGGGGGAAGGCTTGGGGATGCCTGAGGAGGCTGCCCGGGGAGCACATTGGACTGTGGTCCTGAATGGGAAGCAGAGACACGAATTATGGAAGCTGTCATCGGGTGCCGCTGTTGGGCTGATTGTCACGGCGGTGCCTGTCTGCTTCGGGGACAGCTGCTGCAGGTAGGGCTCAGGGTTCCATCCTTATATGTGGCCTGGCCACTGTCACCTGTGTACCCAGTCTCGTCCTCGCAGGCAGCTGGAGCATTTGCAGGCAGACATCCCAGTGCAGGACTGACCCAGGGCCTGCGTGCTGGGCAGCAGTGGGCATGCAGAGGGAGAAAAGCAGTCCTGCCCAGCCCCTGGGTCCCTGGGCAAGCTGTCTCTCCCAGCTGGACACGGCGTCTGTACCAGGTCACAGCCCGGCAAGGCCCTGCACCCACTTGCAACCCCCAGACGGTGCCTAGAGGTCACAGCCCCAGCACAGCTTGGCTGAGTGTGGGACAGGGGCGTGGTGCCCTGTCGGCAGGCAGGCAGGGCCAGTGAGTACCCCCATGAAGCTCCTGTCATTGGGGTCTTCCAGGGAGCAACCCAGTAGCCCTGTGCACAGGGACCCGGGCCTGGAGTACAGGCAACTTCGGGCGACTGGCCTCAGGAGGTCACTTGTTTACGTGGAGGGACCCTGGGGCTCTTGCTGCGGAGGAGGCCGTGCCTGGGAGAGCCCAGGCTCTGGCCAGTAGGGGCGGGAGGGAGGGCCGCTCCAGACGCTCTCAGGCAGCAGTGCCGAGGCGGGTGCAGGGAGTGTGTGGAGACCCACAGGGAGCAGGGCTCCTGGCAGCTGGCAGCCCAGTGGGCGGCGTGATGAGAAGCCTGGAGAAGTGTAGGGGCAGCGCCGGGCAGGGCCTGGGACGGGCAGGCAGAGGCAGCCGCGAGGTCTTGCGCATCTGGGTGAGAGGACACAGGTGGGCCCGAGGGGGTCAAAGCAGGGGCTGGGGGGGCTCAGGCTCTGCACCCCAGGAGTCCTGGCACAGGACGCAGCCCCACACACCTCTCACGCCTGCAGGGGGAGCCCCTTCATGCTCCCAGCATCCTGACGCCCAGGTGCAAAGGCAGGCCCAAGCCAGAGGCCCGACTGGGTCAGGTCTGCAGGGGGCGCTTGGACAGGCCAGAGGATGGGATGGGGGTCTGGCCTAAGTCCTGAGGTCTCTGACGGCCCCTGCAGCCAGGGTGTCTGGACTCACAGCCTGCCCAGCCCCCGAAGGAGGCACTTAGCAGACCACAGAGCCACCCTCGGCGCCCCATCCTGGCTCTGGTTCCCAGCAGTGGGCTTTTCTGGGTGTTGGATCAGCTTGCCCACAGGCCAAGTGGGGGCCTGGACCATCTGCCTTGGACGTGGTGGGGCAGGGCCGGGTGGCAGAGCCTGAGTCTGAAGGCAGCCGGGTTCCCGCCAAGCCCTGCCCCCGGCGCTTCCTCCCCAAGGCTCCGTGCTGTGTCCTCACACGCTAAATATAAGGTCCGAGCCTTACATGGTAGTAGGAGAGCCTAGGATGCCCTGGCCTTGGAGGCCGGGCTGCCGTGGGGACGTCCCAGCCAGCTCAGGGGCAGATACCAGCTGAAGCACAGAGCCTGCCTGCCCTAGGTCTCACTCTGGGAGCAGGCGGTCTTCACTCCGGGGTGTTCCCTGGCTGGGGTCGAACCTAACAGGGGAGTCAAGTCAGGGTGTCAAGGGTCTTGCCCGCTCATCTGCTTGAGTCCTGGGGAGACTGACCCCCGGGTGGGGGCACCATGCATTTCATCACATCGGCCCCCAGTCAGCCCCAGTAATCGCCCTCCTGTGCCGGGGCAGCCTGGGGGAGCCCAAGGCGCGGACTGCCCCTCCACCTGGCCCTGACCACTGGGGCAGGGGAAGCGCAGGGGTGAGACAGAGGGCCTCAGAGGTGCCGTTTGATTACATCATCACCATCGGGTCAGTGGCGTGCCAGCCAGTGTAGCTGCCCACTGCCCCACCCCTGCCCCCAGGCTACCCACCCAGGCTCATCCAGACCTGCCTGGCTGCCACCAGGGGATCCCCTCCCGGCCCTGAGCCTCGGGGCCCTCGTGCACGGCCCCGTCGTCGCTAGGGGGGGCCCCCCCCGCCTGCTCCTATGCAGTGCAGGGAAGCCCTGAGCCACTGGCAGCCCCAGTAGGGTGAAGATCAGCATGCTCCTCGCCTGCGGTCCTGAGCACCCACCTGCAGGCCTGGGCGTGAGCAGGAAGCCTGGGGCTAGGGACACTGAGGTAGTGGGCGGCCCCGGGCCCTGCCAGGCTCACGCTCTGGCCCTGGCCCACAGCTCGCCAGGATGTCGGCGAAGGAGGGCGCACAGCGCAAGTGGACGGTGCTGAAGGAGAAGCTGGGGCCCCAGGACGCAGACCCCGCGGAGGCCAACCTGGAGAACGCCGACCCGGAGCTGTGTGCGCGCCTGCTCCAGGTGCCCTCGGTGGTCAACTACTCGGGCCTGCGCAAGCGTCTGGAGAGCAGCGACGGCGCCTGGATGGTGCAGTTCCTGGAGCAGAGTGGCCTGGACCTGCTGCTGGAGGCCCTGGCGCGCCTGTCGGGCCGCGGCGTGGCGCGCATCGCCGACGCCCTGCTGCAGCTCACCTGCGTCAGCTGCGTGCGCGCCGTCCTGAACTCGCATGCTTTTTTTTGGTGT